ACATGAATGTAGTTTGGTTTAAAAGGCTATTGAAGCCAGTCTTACTTGTTAGTTAACAGCCTCTGTGTAGCCATAAATCAGGGATACTTGGCTAATAAAAAAAAAAGAAAAAAAAAAATGGCAATAAAACCACAGAGTAAACTGCAGGCCTGAAAGAGAGTGCTGTCTCCCACCATTCATGTTTGCTGTCACTGAAGGAGGAATCAAACATGATCATTTCTAAACTACTCTTGAAATATGATTTACATTAACTGTAAATAAAATAAAATAACCCTATTTTTAAATTAAAGTACAAAGAAAAGTGCATTACAATAATTTAGAAATTATTTAAATGAAGACCTAATCATGAATTTTAAGCAAAAATGTCCTCCATGCTGAGATTTTCTCTAACTGCTGAAGAAACCTCCAAAAAGAATGAATATTTCATACTATATAGAATTTATTATATAAGAAGGGTTTAATCCTAATTGGGACTGGGTTGTGTCATGTGATGGGTTTTTCTGTAAGAACTAAATGTGTCGGCAGGCCTCTGTAGCAATATCGATACACTAAAACTAATGAATGCGGGGGAAAAAAATCTGATTTACTCTGTGAAATTGGTTCATTCTAAGAATTCTATTTTTTAAAAGTGAATGTTTTGGACTGGAGATACAGTCTTTAAATGTGAAAGAGTAAGGTGGAAAGGTGGTTAATAGAAAATTTAGCAAAAAGGAAAAAAATGGGCTTCTGAGCTGAGGAATGCCCCAGTAAATGAGACATACCATGAAAAACATCTGGGCCTAGTCACAGTAACATCATGTTTTTGTGAACCGTTTCCCTTTTGAAATAAGAAAGTGTGATGTGACTAAATTTACCTGAAATCACTGTAGGGGTGAATTATCCAAAATCCGGCGGATTTAACCCGCTCTTGTTCTCGTTCAACCGCCTTCTCACTTCCAAACATCCTCAGGGAGAACTTGTTGACCCCTGGTTGAAGCATTGCTCCTAACTGTCTGTGTATGAACCCAGCCTGATATAATCTCTCGTCGTCCGGCAGAATTTGATCAATGCCATCCAACTTTATAAACCCTGACTGCTGGTCTGGAGAATCATTTTGGGCACCACCGCCAGCGCCACTGCTGGCCTCCTGCGCACCTTGATCCGGCTGCCCGTCACCGATTGCTCCAGGGGGGCTCTCTTCGCTCGGGGTAACATCCCCTTCAGTGATGAGGCGTCTCTCCTCCGCAGAGTCTGAGTCGTGCACATGTCGACTTGTGATGGACGAAAGGCTGCCTCGAAATCTCCGACAATCTCCATTTGAGCTGGTCTTCATAGGTCTCCCTATGTCCGTCTCCATGATCACAGATTCCCCACTTTTGGTCTCGCCGATGCCTTTGCAGCTTCCTCCAGAGGTCGGCGACGGTGACGGTAAAGGCTTCATCCTAATGCTCTTCCTCCGGGTGTCCTTGTCTGCGTCTTCTCCTTCACCCATTATAGATGCTTTCTGTCCAATGTGCTGTGGCAAACTGTAGAGCCTTTTACGCATGGAGGAGTGCAACCTGTCCATTATGACATTGAGACACGCAGGAAATATTAAATAAATCCAGATTGTTAGCCTGTATTGTACTGGTTATTGCCACAAGCTCCGCGCTCCCTATCTGTTTGTGAGAGCGATCAGTCTGGAGCTAATCTGAATCCCTGAAAGCCTGCTACACATGACACGGACCGCCGTGGCTCTGCTGAAACAGATGAGGGATATTCTTTTTCATAATCAGACTACCTGACAGTTTGCATATGTCCTCACACACAGCCTGGGCGGTCCGCTTGGCCACTGCGTCCCCGATGTACATCTTTGTGCCGTTCCGACATTGTGCGCAAAAGTGGAAAAACTGCCTGAAAGTCACCTTAGCGTGGCATGTGAGAGACGTGCCGACGGACGGTGATACAGAGACCAGAGAAAGGTCATGCACGACGAAGGATGCTCTTTTCACAAGACGTCTTGTCAGCTTTCATAAAACAACGCAACACAATCGTGCAAAAATACAGTAAAGCATTCCAGGGACCGCTGACATCACTGTTCCATAGTCAGGGTGCGTTTTGGTGAATTGTGAATATTCATGATGCTGATCTATTGGGTTGCCATAGGAGCGAGAACTGCAAATAAGCTCAGCCCACCTTGTTTAAAGGGGAAAGCTCTCTCCATTCTTAAAATGTTCTCCCGTTCTTTTAAGTTAAGGCTACAGGTAGCCAACATGCCCATTGTTAAAACATGATGTTGTCTTCTGTTGGAAGAGACCAAGGACCCTGCTTGCCATCGCTGTAATCAGTCTGATCTACTGCGTAATTTGCGCACACTAATACAAACGAAGCTAGAATAGACTCGTCTATAATTTGGTAAGAAGCTCTTGTATAAAATTATTGGTATACGGGTGGATTCTCAGATGGAAATAAACAAATCTGTGATCTCCTAATTCAAGATTATTTTTCCAATTCCGTGTATTTATAACACGTAGGATGTCACACCCTTTTGTGCTTATTGTTCCTTTTATTTTCAGCCTAGGATGATAAAGAAAGAAAAATAGTCTAAGGGATTTTGTCTTGTGAACGAAGCCTTATGATTCTTTAATTTCATCAGTGCCTTCATTATGAATGTCCTTTTGTTTTTGTGTTCCGTTTTGTGTGTGTTTTCCTTTTTTCTGTCTCATTTCATTCATTTACAGTTCCTGCAGCACAAGTATGACAGTTTCATTGCAAGGACATCTTTCGCTCATGTCTTCGGTACAGCTTTACAAAAGCTACATTGTTACTGTAATAGGTTAAACAAACCCAGGATAGTTGTGTGCAGCATCCTTACAAAAACCTTTTAAAGCTAAAGCAAATTTTATCAGCAATATTTTGTAGACGATTAAAACATTAATTAAACAAGCCTTTTTTCACTATTAACAAAGTATCTTATCTTGTGTCACTTCCCCAATGTCTAAACTGAGAAACATCAATGCCAGCAGTTTCTGAAGAAAGGTTATATATTCAAATTTAGACAAAAAACTTTTATCAACTATTCTAGTGGATATTGCAGAACTGCAGACACTGAAAAATAGAAGGCAATTTGCTAATGCAAAACAGCCACATTATAATTTAGGGAATCTCTTTTACTATGCTGGATTTACATAATGTAACTTCCAATACCCAAAATAAATAAATAAATAAAATAAAATGAAATGAATCCTAGCCACAAATACCTACAGCATTTGGTGAAAGCCCCCCTAATTGACACACTAATACAAAGCAGTGCCTTTCTGCAATTCTATTAACAAGACCATTTACTAGGTCACTATTTTTAAGAACTTTAACTTTCAAAAATCATCCACATTGGAACAATTATGTCCTTTGAATAATAATGGCTGTGAGTTATATGGGTTGCAAATTAATTACCCAACTTAACTAAAAATGCAAGAAAATGCAAGATAAATAATACAATTTGTAGCAAACAAAAGAATAAATTATCAATTTGTAAAGTGTGTAAGAAACGCTTCCCTCTACACCTGTGATGTCAAACTTCCCGCCGACCCAATGGGTGGGTTTGCAAACTGTGAAAATTACAGAGCAGGTACATTTCTGGACTTTTCACTGCTTTTTGTCCTTAAGAATAAATCACATCATGAAAGACTGAACTGATGATTTCATCTGAGTCATTTCATCTGAAATAGTTTTACAGCTTCCTGACTGATAAAGACAAAGACGACAAACACAAGCCATTAAATAAAAGAAAAGGATTTCCATTAAATGACAGAAAAGTTCTTTTTATTATTATTGATGAACAACGACTTCCTTTTTGATTTTCTGTGAAGTAACATTAGAACAAAGTCCAAGTTTGTTGTCACTTTCTTTACAAATTTTACAGTTTTATTTCTTAAAAGCTGGGCAGTGCAGTGGTTACCACTGTTGTTTCACAGCAAGAAGGTTGTGAGTTTAACTGCACAAGAGCCTTTCTGTGTGGAGTTTGCATGTTCTCCATGTGTTTGTGCTGGTTCTCTTGGGTATCCTGCTTCCTCCAATAGTCCAACTGTATGTAATTTGTTGGGTTAGGTTAATTACTTATTCTAAATTGCCTATAGGTGTAAGTGTGAATGGTTGTCTGTCTCTCTCTCTGTGACAGATTGGCAACTGTCCCCAACACTCCTCTATGATAGCTGGGACAGGCTCCAGCCTGAAGAGAATGGATGGATAGATTTCTTAAGAGTGCAAGTCCATTAACTCATGCTGATGGATTCATTGATGTAGTACAGCACAATTTTTTGTAATTAGATTTGACTCACTGAAAGAGGTAAAACACATCAGGTGGTTTGTAGGTAGGTGTTTATTTTATAGATATTAGGTAAAGTTCAAGCCGGCCCACTTAAGCTCAAATGGGGCTGTGGCCCAAAACTAAGAGTTTGGCACCCCTTCTTTACACACCGACTCTAGGGCAGAACTTAAATCTACCACAACCTGTCTGCATTACTTAGAACTCTAAATATTTTGAAATAATGCAATATTTGCAATAATACAAATCTTATTAACCCTACCTGTGTTTTTCATCTTCTGTCTCACATCATACCTTAGCTTGGGTGTGGTCACTGGTGTATGCAGATATTTGAGTCTGTATATATACTTTTGACCCTGTGTAAATGAGAGAAAATCCAAACTAAAATCTTGTGTAACCAAATCCTGTCTTTTAAGGTAATTAAAGATGCATGCTGTACAATCATTGCTCCCAGGAAAAAGAGCAGTTCAAAGGAATCATTAAACACCCATAATTACCATGACACACATGGCTATGATCAGTGTTTGTAAACTTCTAAACACAACTGTATCTATATATCTAAGAGACACAAACTGTGAGTTACTTTCAAGCTAGGATGGCCATTTTGAAATTTTTGCTCTGAGAACAGAAAACAAAATTAAAATAGAAACTGCTACATGCACTGTTGTCTTAATGTGTAGTCCAGTAGGACATATTGCCAGCTCTTATCCCAGTGAACAATGTCACTGAGCCAGCATTCAACAATACTGGAGCACTTGAACTAATGCATTATAGTTAGTATTTAGCTATCATTATAACCACACATTTAACTATTAATAATGGAACATTTCAGCAGTTCAGTCCACCTGCATCTGAAACTGGAGTCACACTCCTACTGTACACCCATACAGCATCAAGTGTTCCAAACTTGCTGGGTCACATGTGGAGACATGAGCCAGCTTCCTGCTGAGGAAGTGATGCTGAACCTTGGGTTTGTAACATACACCGTCACATGTTTCAGAACAGCTCCCTGCAAACCCACATTTTCTTACCACTGTATATATTGCACTGTAATACTGACATTACACAAGTATTGGGCAAAGGTTTGGGGCAAAGTGTTTTAACGTAATCCAAATCAGCACTGAGTGTCATGTCTCTTTAATGTTACTGTCACCTCTGACTATTTAAAAAAAAAAAAAAGCCTCTCAGTTGACGCTGACGTTAATTTTCGCGCGCGGTCCATGTTTCGTTCAGGCTCTTCTGCTGGCACTGGATTCTGCTATAGCTGGTTGGGTTTGACAGAAAATATCAAAACAAAACTACTCCGCTGCTGGAAATGATCTCCACTCGTATTTGGAAGTTAAAACGCTATGGGCGTTTCATCCCTGGCTCCAAGGAAACAGGTGTAACACCGTGGAAGGTAACTGACCTACATTTACGTATTAATAAAAAACCTTGCCCTAGCTAGCCAAACTTTCCTAAGCTAGCCTAGCTGTATTAGCTTTCTGCCTGACAATAACTTTAGTCAGTGCAGCGTATTGGCCAAATACACACACGAATAAAAAAACGTACTTAATATATTGTTCATTAGGATTTTTATTTAGAACCCACCTCCTAGTTAAGGAAACGTGTCTAATTTTGTGACTCATAAAGAGTAGCTTTCCCTTAGCACCATAACTGTTGATGAAACCCCAGAGTGGTGTTAATTATCTCTAATAACAACCATTTACTACGAACATTTTAAGTTATCTGCCAGCCTTAGTTAAGCTATAGTATAATACCTACAAAATTGTGAAAAAGCCCCCCCCCCTTTCTTTATTTTTTTTGGGGGGTATTGTTAATTTTTAATATTTGCGGGACATGTTTCAGATAGTCTGACAAACTTTAGTATTAGACAAAGGTAACCAGAGTAAATAGGAAATGCAGTTTTTAAATAATGATTTAATTTTTATGCTGAATTCAATTTCACTAGCCAGGTCTGATTACTGTCTGATTACTATCAGACTTGCTGAATAAAAAAAAAATAGACTTAAATAGAACCTGTCTGAAAAAGTGAAGCAGGCTGAAAGATCTTAAAAAGCCACACATCATGCCACAATCTAAAGATACTCCAGAGTAAATGAGAAACAAAATCATTGACATCCATAAGTCTGAAAAGTATTAAAAAGCTTTTTCTTTCTTCTTTTTTTTTTTTTGCCGGTCCCGTTTGGCTCTTTTGCCATCAGAATTATTGTCTAAAGGCAAAGAAAGATGCCCAATGGATTTACTTTACCAAATTGACCATCCCAGCCTTGCCATAATGGTCCATTTGATTCACCTTTTATTGTTTATTTTATTTTCACTTACTGAATATGGGACAGACTTGACTGGAGAAAGAAGGGGAGAAAGAAAGAGGGAAAGAGAAACAGCTGAGAAGAGGGACGGGGGAGAAGGGCAAAAGACAAAAACCAACAGAATGGGCAGAAGAAAAAAGAGAAAAAAATGCATATATCAATCACCTGGATCACCTGCTGAGAAAGAAAAAAGAAAACAAGCAGAAGAGAACAAGAGTAATAGAATAAACAACATCACAATGATATATGGGAATATGACAGTAAATACTAAATATTAAACATTGTTGTGCAGCACATAAGATCAACAGAAAAGTGTCCTTTGAGGTAGGAGCCAAAAAGGGTGTAGTTTGTGGGTGTGATCACCCGTGTGTACACCTGTGAGCATGGACGCGCTTGTTTTTTTAAAAGGGTCCTTCATGTAATGATCTGCTAGAGGGTGTGGGGGGCCACAGCCCCGTCCTCCAGGGCATGAAGCAGGTATGGAGGAGATCAAAACTCCAGACATCCAGAGGCCCTCAGAACACAAGAGACCAAGGAAGACCAACAGAGGGGCAGCCGCGCCACTGTCCCAGAAAGAGCTGAGGAGAGTCCCAGATGAGGGCTCACTCAGCAGCCGCGGAGCAGAAGCCAGGGGGAGTTGCAGTGACGCGCCCATGAGCTCCGCCGGCAGCCAGCTGTGCCTGAGTGACCGAGCCCCAGGCCGATAGGCCGGGGGCACCCCACCTCCGAAGTGGCCCAAGCGAGCCCCAGGCTCCAGGCCCGGATAAGCGGCCGCCAAGGAGTGAGCCGGTGTGTACCTGGACGCCCATCCCCAGACACAAAGAACCACCAACGCACCGATGTCTGAGGGAGTCCGCCACTGGCAGGGGAAGTGGTGGTGGGGGGAGATAGGCCTCCAAACCTTGGAGGGCCTGAGATGTCCCCAGAGAGGTGGCATCTGATACCCAACCTGACATATAGACACAGACATACAGGCACACACAGACACAAACATCCATTCCCACCCTCATGCTCTCATATGCACTTACTCCACACTCAACCAACGTGGAGACAGACATAAAGAGACACTGTACACACAATCACACTCCCCAAGCGTACTCTACGAACCGGGTCTAGGTACCCTTGCCCCTGGAGGGGGAACTGCACCCAGACCCAGGTGGTGTTTTCTAAGGTTGTGGTACTCTAGCAAACCACAGTGAGAGTCATTATCCACAATTGTTGGGCTACCAAAATGACTCCAAGAGTGCACCGAAGACTCATCCAGGTCAGAAAAGAACCCATAAGAACATCTAAAGAACTGCAGGCTTCACTTACCGTAGTTAAGCTTCCAAGGTGGAAAAAAAAATCACTGCGGACCATAAAGACCATAAAGGCTTGTCTAGTTGATGGAACCATGAATTCTGTTTTCTACCAGAAACCCCTCGGTCCATCAGTTTGTGCCCTGAAGCTCAAGGGCACTTGGGTTATGCAGCAGGACAATGGTCCGAAACACACCAGCAAGTTTACCACTGAATGGCTTTGGAGTGGGCTTGTCAGAATCCAGATTTAGATTTGATTCAGATGCATAAATGCGTAAAAAATGACATTGGAGGGTTTTTCCTGATTTATAAAATTACTATTTAAAAAGTATGTCTTGCATTTTCTCTGGTTACGTTTTTCTAATATTAAAATGTCTTTGAATACCTGAAACATGTCAGTGTGACAAACACTAAGTAAATAAATATCTGGAGGTGGGAAAAAATACTTTTTAACAGCATTGTATATACTAACATGAATTTATGGATAAATATATTTTTATTGTTTTGTATGCATATAAATGAGATTACATATTTGAAAAAGCAACTTTGAAAAGTTTTTATATACTGCTTTGATTTAGGGCTCTGTACATATTTTACATAGTCGACCATCAAAGATCTTTTTTGAACTAGGGAAAAAAATGACTTACAGTATTTGGCTTTCCACTTTATATCAGATGGAATATGTGCTGACTGGGAGCACCTTTGTTTGATGGTTTACTTAGTTCTTCCCTAATTTAAATTCAGTTTTGATATTCATATAATTGTGTGGTATAAAAACTTAGTCACATGTCCTTCAAGACATAAAATCAGATCTATGGGAACAGATTAAAAATAGAACAATAACTTAACTCAAAGTTCCTTTCCTTAATTTCTATGAGTTGCAGCATAAAACAACATTAAAACTACCTTCATTATGCTATCTAGTAGCAGGAGGTACTTTGGGTTACGTCTTGCAGTGCTGAGGCACAGAGACACTACAACTGCACCATATCTTACATTAATTTTCTTTTTGCTCTAATGTTGTCTCTGTAGGAATATAGACATATTAGCCGCAACATTAAAATCAGTGTTTCTGCAAGGAAACAAGGGGTGCTGCAATTCATGGATGTTACTTGACAGGAACCACCTACCGAAAGACCAAGCAACCCCTCTTGGCAATAGACCCTCCTGTTTGCAGCCTGGCAGTGCCTATTGCCACACTCCAAAAACTGCTGAAGAAGAACTCAAGGAGCATAACTAATAGCCCAAGGCATTGACCCAGACTCCAGACTCTCCAGATTCCCAATCAAATAGAGCATGTACTTGGGCTGTTTATGCTTTCGGTATTAAACATGAAAATGAAGTAACAAACAGCTGATGGTAGAAAAAGCCTATTTATTTAGATAATTACTGCATTTTTAAAAATAATTCTATTCAAAGTATAAAAGTATTTCACTGGTTGTACCTACTGGTTGTATAATTATCTTTTTGTTTCTGTTTCTGTTTCTGCATTTGTTTTTGTTTTTTCATGTTTGAAAAACTCCATTCCTTGTGCTGTTTTCTTTCATTAACTGCACCAGACTCTAGATGGCAAGCTAGAGCTGTGTATTTCTTAATGACACCAATGAATGAAACCAAAGTACATCTATATCATAGGGCAGCTCAGAGACATTGAGTCAAAGCATGTTATTTAAACTGAGCTAAGTCGCATTTACATTGATCACACAAGATTGCAATTGCAAATTGTAAAATTCAGTGAAAAGGCAAGTTGTGAACATTGAATTACAAGAGTTTATCTGACTAACTTTATAATAATAATAAGCTATTCCAGATACTCATGAGCCATATTGGGTAGTGCATCTCTTTTAAGAACATTTTTAATTTTCATGAAATTGTATCAGGTACACATACCTTTGGGCTGTTGAACCAAGACTTAAAATGTAGCAGAAACAAAAAACATTACTGTCATTGTTATATTAATAAGCTACATTATTTATCTTAATCAGTAAAAAATAACAATGTTATTGATTTTTAAAAAAAAGCATCCTTTAGAAATGCATATATCTAGTTACTTCTAGGAAAAGCAATGACTAATTCAATATTTTTCTCTTCATCAGGTACTTGAGGCAAAGGACAACAAACCTGAAATTGTCCTCACAATTGTGGAATCTGGACACTTGCTGGTCTTGCAGGGACAAGAAAGCTTGGTAAGTAGAGTAGGTTACTGTTTTTTTCTCATAGATTTCTCTGTGTGAACACAACATACAACAA